TCAGCTTCTAGATTATAAACTCTAGAACGAAATGTTAAGACTGTAAGGAGGTGGAAACACATAGTGGTAGCAACGCAGAGTGCTGGTGGACAGGACTGGAGGGAATATCCTGACGATGAGAGACATGCTGGGGACTTTGAGCACAACAGTGCCCAAGGCTGCCTTTACTGCCCATGAAAACCTCAGTCAGCAAAGCAGAGAACAGCAGTCATCTCTACCATTTGTTGAATTTGGGGCTCTGTTGTTAACATAAAAAAATAGGGGTCCCCAGAAAGCAAGAATTGTACCCTGAATCTACTGATAGAAAAAAGGGATCAAAAGAGCTATGAATTCAGCAACATGTAAATTAATTTGTCTTTTATTAATGTTCATACTCTGCCTATATATAAAGATTATTTGCAACACAGTATTTCATCCATGAGCAAAGTGTGGTGCACACAGGGATTTTCAGGGAATTTCAGTCCCCAGGGGCCCAGAGCTCATGACTTAGGAATTCTTGAATTACCTTTCAGGGGGCTTCCAGCTCTGAAACGTTATGAATCTAGGCTCCTAACAATAATTTTTAAAGCAGAAATTGCATTCAATGCATAAGCTTCAGGAGGACAGGGAAGTATGCAATGTATCTTTGAAAGATGTCCGTTAAAATTTGTGAGGATAAAGTTTCACTGACAGTGGAGTCCAATTATATCTGTACTGTTTGCTTGTAGGGATCTCTTCTCTGCTCCACAGTGAGGTATAATGCTTAACCTAACGGTGAACCAAAGAGCTCGTGGGCCAGTACCTCCAAACTTCCTCTTTCTGCAAACCCTATTATTTGTCACATTAGAAAGCAGAAAAAGTAGTTATTCCTAATTTTCTTAAAAGAGTCTATCCCCAAAAGCCTGTCACTGAATTTTGAGCTGAAATTGAGCTGAAGTCAAGTTTGGTCAAAGGAAAGGGGTTTAAAAAAATCTGATTTCCAGGCTTTCCAGAAAATACTTAAAAGAATAGGTCCCAGAGTCAGGTATGGTCTTTTCCTCTAAAAAGGCATTGACAGGAGTCTCATTAAAGATGTTTTGAGATGAAAAGGAAATCATAAGTTTAAATGAGGTCAGAGAAATTGGCTAGCCAAGAATGGTATGGCAGAGTTTATTGCCGGATTATAAGACCCTCTCAACCCGTATCACACGGCTCCATGGCTGTGACAAGATTATTTTTAGCTGTTTTTTTATCCATATTTCAGCTAGACTTATTCAGTATTTGTTATTTTTGGTTCACTTGAATTTATAAATGCCCCCCCAAATCACAATATTCTATTGGCCTACCTATGTGTACATACGTGGATATGTGGACATTCCTGAAATTTCCTGTAAGAAGACATGAGCAATATTGAACCTCTATTTCCTTCTAAAAATAATAAGCAATATTGAATTTATACTCTACACTATATTAAGTTTTAGCTTCAGTTTTTTAAGGGCAACAGAGGCACAACCTTGGTCCCCTGGGTACTTTTTAGTAGGATTTTCAATATAATAAATCCATCCAGAAACACGCTCTCCCTCCAACTCCCACTATTCTAAAGTCATGAATGCAATACAAATTCAGGACTTCGATTCTGCCGGAACCTGCTGATTTCTAATCTATATTGAGATTTTTTTTTCCCCCCAAGGTGTACTTAATTCCTCAGAGTTCGGATACCCAGGGGCAGCTTAAGTCTGAATGAAACATTGACTGTTGTCATTCTAAAGGTCTGCCTCTAGCTAGAGTCATTCTGGGACAGCTACCAGAAGACTGTTTTCAAGGCTCTGCCTCTCTACCCACAGGAAAAAGGAATTTTTTATTTAGGTATTTACTTTTGCTTGAATGTCCATTTTCCCTCTATTTATCACCACATCAGAAGAATTCTTTGGTTAAAAAAAAAAAATGGAGTGAGGGGACGACCATCAGCGCTGTGCCCCTGGCCACCTCATTCATGCCACAGCGATGAGGCCTATTTTCCTACATGCTTCCCATGGCATTGATCATTGCTTCTGCCACTTTGTGCCAAACATGAAGTAACCCTAAAATTGGCCTTGTGGTACAAGCCTCTGCCTACTATCTCTACCTGAAGAATTGTCTTCGCCCCAAAATTGCATGTTGGGCAGGTCACTTGTCACCTGCTTCTGTCTCCTTCACACAGGAAGACGAGCTGGTCTTGCCTCTGGGCCTGGTTCTCTTTGGAGAAATGAGGCATTTGCCCAGCATGACTTCACTCTTACTGGGGTGGGTCCCATGCCTGGATCTAAACACATGGCCATCTCTGCAAATCGGAAGCTGTGTGTGAGGCATTTTGCTTGGTTGCTATAGGAGGTTAACTCCTAAGGAGACCTTGGTGTTTGGGTGCCAGCTGCGGGAATCTTTATGATGCAGACAGGGTGGGCCTTCAGTAGAAAGTCACTGGGAAAAGGCCCTGGTTTTCCCTCGGCTATAATTGATTTTTTATTAGAGGCAGAGGCCAAGTGGATGCCATATTCCCTGTGACGTCAGTCAAGCTCAGAGATACATGAAGACATGGGTGTAGTTATCTATGAGTAAAACCCGATAAGTCCCACTAAGTTAGGTAACGATCTTTTTCCATTCTCAATAACCGGTAGATTCCTCGGATATCGATCGACACGCCTCCCCAAGGATGCCCATCGATGGGGAGGTAGCGTGTCATTTAAGAAAACTTTAGGTGGAAAGATGCAAATGGGGTCCATCCAGAAATGGAATTCAACTCCTACATATTTGGGGTATTGTTGTCAGCACCCAAAGAAGGGGATTCTCTTAGTGGTGTGCCCACCCATGATTACATGTTCACTTGTCGCCTCTAACCAAGCTAGGTCCTAAGGGTTCTTCCAGTTCAAAGCTGGGTGTCTCTCTTTAGCCTGTTTTTATGGTGTGGGGTTTACCTCTAATCCTGGCTATGAAGAGGAACCCCCATTTCCACTTGAGGCACACCTGGCTGGCACCATTCAGAGCATCAACCAGATAGCTAGTCTGAAGCAGTTGCCAAGGTATCAGAAAGCTAAGATGTCTAAGCTGGACTGTTCCAGCACTCAGTGAGCCCTCAACAAGTCTGCCCAATTTTATATAAATACTTAGACAGGCATGAAATGGATTTTCTGGATGTCTGGCTTTTTTTTTTTTCCTATTAGTATCCCATAATTGCTTCTCTCTTCATTTTTGCTGCTGCTTCCTTTTTATTTACTTTTTTCCTTTTTGCTTTTTTTTTTTCTTTTTTTTCTTGGTAATTCTGATCCAACCAGGTAGCAATGCGTTTTCCAGGGAGCCTTTTTCAATAGTTTCTTCCCTAGCCTATTTAGTGGAAAGGCAAGCTGTTTCAGCCTGTTAGGGTCAAAAAAAATTTTTTTAAACAAAGTTCCCTTGGCATTTTTTTTAAAGTCCAGTGATAATTCCTTGTCTTTGATAGAATCTGCCTCAGGTGGGAATCTCTCAGGTAAACTCTCAGGTAAACTCTGGCAGCTTCCATTTTGCCTCCCTGTTCTGCTAATGAAGAAGCTTCTTGCCCTTCAGGCTGTCCCTCTTTTGCACAAGTTGTCTCCCTTCTGGCCACGTGAAGCCACATGGAAGGAAACATTGACAACAGAGATGTGACCCCATTGCTCTCAAGGCCTGGTCAAAGCTAGCTGACCACAACCTACCTTCCCACACCACCACTGCCCCCAAATATGCTTTCTGGAAGCACCCAGCCTTTTGGCTCTGGTCTTTTCTCTTTGAAAGTGGGGGCAAGGTAGTCTGCTGCTCAGGTCTTTGTGGCGTGGGTGCTTCTTACACTGTGGTGTCAGCTCTGCTTACTAAAAAACACAGGTTCACACCAGCCAAGAAGAGCTTGTCCGGGCCTTGGAGAGCAAAACCTCACTGTAGGGGATAAGGCCCGAGATGGAACTTAATGGCTTCCCTGAAAAATGTTTAAAAATGCATGTGGCTCAATTCCATGTGAGCGTGGCCGCAGTCAAAATACCCCAGACCTGTCAGGAAGCAGGCCTCAGAGAATCTCATGAATAGACTTATTTTGTGAAGTTACTTAAACGCCCAGAAAAACCAACCGAGGGTAACGCCGGCTCCCCGGCCGTTGATTTGGGTGAAATCCCTCCCTCAAATGACCTCTGTTAAGTTTGGCTAGTTACAGGAGTTGTGTTGCTTTTTCCTCCCTTTTCTGGAAGAGACATGGAAAACAGGGGCTGCGCAGATGTGGCCCACCGGGGGGAAGCGTTGATCCCGCGGGTGGAAACCGTCCCCAGCTCGCTGCGAGCGCCCCACCGGCTTCTGAATGAAGGCCTTGTTACCTGGCAGTGTTGTCAGTGTGAAGTTTGGCATTAACCTGTGAAGCCCGGGGAAAGAATCAGCCCTTTCACACACAGCTGCCCGTGTCCCGCACACACCCTGAGGTCCGTGTGCGCCCTGCGGCCCCCCAGGAGCCCGCACCCCTCCAGAACTGAGAGGCTTCCCTGCTTCCTGGCTGCCAGGCCTAGTCTACCTTCTCGTCCAGCCCAGCCAAGATCCCAAACGGTGACCAGCCTGCCTACCCTTCAAGGAGTCCACCCCCAATGACATGGTAATGTCGGGTTCTGTGTGTTTCCAAAAAAAAAGAAAGAAAGAAAATGTCCAGCCCATGTTCTCTTCACTCTTGGCCCATGGCCACTTTGCCAGGCTGTCGAGCCTCACCTGATTTATAGGCCTCCTGCCACGGATCCTGATTTCTAGAATTAGAATGAAAACCAGATCCGGACCCACAGAGGTGAAGGCCAGATGGGCGGGGCCTGTAGGTTTAGCCTCTTTGGGGAAACCCAACCCACCAAGAGGTGCAGACGAATCCCTTTGAACCCCCTGAAGGGAAGGCCCCTGCCAGGCCTGTATTCAGCCTGCGGGGACCACAGATAGTTAGCGTCATTTCTCAGGGTTAAAAGGTATTGTGGGTTCTCTGTGGCCCAGGCTAAAGGGGGGGGAATAACCTATTTCATTTTATTTTTTTTTTCCAGTTCTCTCAGGCCAGGCACACCACAGCCCTTTGAAACGATCTGTGTCCCTTACCCCACCCATGAATGTGCCAAACCAGCCTCTAGGCCACGGATGGATGTCTCATGAGGACTTACGAGCTAGAGGACCCCAGTGCCTCCCATCCGATCATGCCCCCCTGTCTCCACAAAGCAGTGTAGCCTCTTCAGGAAGTGGTGGGAGTGAACACTTAGAAGATCAGAACACTGCTCGTAACACATTCCAAGAAGAAGGTAGTGGTATGAAAGGTGAGTGACGAACGAGAAACCACTGGGAACAGAATCTGTCCCTTTATTTAGAGTCAGAAGGGTGAAAAGAGAGGTAGGTAGTCAGCGAGAGAGGAGCCCAGCCCCCTCCCCAAGCTCGTGCACTTGACCCAGCCCTTGCAGAGCTCCAGGGTCCACCCTGACAGAAAGGGCTCCGATTCCCCTTCTAGGGTATCTTGCCAAAACCTGGGAAGCAGGAACCAGAGCAGGAGAGGTCAACACTCTTTTTTTTTTTTTAAATGCAGTGACTTGCAGGCAATTAAATGAGTCACCGCTACTGCTAGGATCTCCTGTGCACGTACGTTGCTCAGCCTGTCCTGTTTGGAAAGGCGCTGAGCTCCTCCAGCCTTCTACCTCATTGGCCGTGGCCAGGGAACTGTCAATAATTCAGCAACACAAACCATAGGCTCTTTCTTTTAAGTCTCTCCTAATGCAGAATGGTGGTCGTGCTTCCTTTCTCTCTCCCTTTTCTTTTGATGTGCAAAGAAACTTTTAAACCCTTTCCTCTGCACCTGTTTAAGGGACGTGAACACAGTACCACTGAGAATCAATGTCAGGGTGTTAAGCCTGAGAACAGATTTGCATACAATGATAAAGGCCTTCTCGTGCAGCATAAATAAATGTTTGTACATTGCCCTGTAAGTCTAGCCTCTTCTTAAGCTACTCATCAGGAGACAGAGATTGCCACATTACCCTCGACAGGTTCAAAGAGGATACGTGCGTTTTGTATTTTTAGACGCCAAGTTGTTCAAAGTCTGGGAAGTCCTAGGGGAAAGATGCTCATCAGAGACCCAGGAATAACAAATTTAGATGGAGAAACAGTAATTTTCCTTGCTTCTGGGAGTACAATACTGCAGGGGGCTCTGAGAGCGGCCCTCTTTGCTGGCATCCAGAGTCCTGAGGACTGGCTGTCTCCAACCTTTCCCTCAAGAAGGATGTGTTGATGTAGGAGTCTCTCCACCAAGTTCCTTCCCCGCCATGGAAGCATGGCACAGAGAGACACCCATGACCACCCAGGGGCCAGTTGTGTGAGACCACCAGGCTGACGCAGGGAGCCTGTCCATTAGGGGAACAAAGCTGCCGGAAGTTCCTTCCCTGGTGCCTTCCTTGAACATTCCTTTCCCTCAGCAGCAGGCCCGTATGCTCCCCATGCCACCCCCATCCCATGGTGAGTGCCCAGAGTGAGTGGGATGTGTCTTGGTGCTTTCTTCCGCTGATACAAGTGGGTCTTTAAAGGTGTTTAACAGACAGCACAAACAATGGCTCATTTTGGCATGGAGGGGATGTGTGTCCTCTTTCTCTTTCACAGTTTTCGAGGGAATGTGTCATAATTTTGGAGACCTAGCAAAACTCATTTCTGAGTTCATGCTATATGGTTCTGTGCTCTAGTAGCTGAGCCCCAGGTGATGGGTAACTGATGAGCCTCAGCTATGTTTTAGGTAAGCCTGTAGGACATCTGTCATGGGGACCCCCCAAGTACCCAAGGGACCGGGGGAGGCAGGGCCAGCCGTTCCTCTGGGCTAGCTTCTTCCCAGGCCAAGTGGAGTGTCTGGGCAGCACATTTCCAAGAAAGTGTACGTGTGGTTCTAATCAGTGACTGTGGGAAGGAGGCCTTGGCCCTTGTGTTCAAGGGCAAGGAGGGTCCTACAGGAAGGTCATTCTCTGGAATACAGACGTCTCCCAGAGAGGAATGCTCGTCCTGTCTGGTTATTAGAGGTCTGCTTTCTTTCCTTTCTTCCTTTTACTTTTCTTTCTTCCTTCCTTCTGTACATTCATTCATTCATTCTTTTTTTCAGCTTTAATGTATACCTTCAATATCCTCCCAAAGTAGGTAAAGGTGTGCTCATCATGTGCTGTTGTTTTGAGGTGAGAAAAGAATAATGACAGAAAACCCGAATAAACTTCTTATTACTGTTTTAGAATACAAGCCAAAATATTCCAAAGTTCAGGGAATATCCCCTATGTAAGCATCTTCTATTCTTTTCTTTAGAATTGATAAGAATTGTCTCCTCAGAGATCCTTCAGTCAGAAAGTGACACAGATAAGCTCTTACGTCCAAGATTTTCTTTATAGGCCCAAGGGATTTGGTGACCAGGTAAAACAGAAGACTCTTTCCTATATACATCCACCTTCTGCTGACCTAGCAAACTGTCCTTTTCCCAAAGAACTGGATCAGGATTCAAAATATAAAATCTGTAGCAAATTAGAGGGCAAAACATATTTGAAAGAAGGCAGGAGAAACAATGAAGAGTTGTATTTATGGGAAAAGTATGTTTGTAGTTCAGCTGATAGGTCAAACCATAGAAACATCCACACCTGAAACAGTAGCCTCCCAGAATGTAGGGGGCTGAAGGCAGCCCCCCAGCGGTGCCTGGAGATGTCTTCTCAAGAAGGCAACTCTGTCAGCGAAGCCTGTACAGGGTGGCCTCCCAGGACAGTGCCCAAGAAGCAGACCTCACCAGGCCCAGCCCAAGAGTTTCTCATTTGATTCCCAAGTCCGAGAGCAGACATGGGTTTAAGTTTCCAAATTAATTCATACTTTCTGAGAAATGAAATATGAAATCAAACGAAGCGCTTCTAAAAAGAGCCAGCTCTTGCCTTCAGATCCACATCCCCTTCTTCCGTGTAACCAGGTTTTTTGGCAGGAGTATCAACCCTTTTAGGCTACTTTCTGGTCTACCTGAGGACACCATCAGTAAGTTGCTATTTTTCTAAAGTTCTTTTAAAAGCCTGGTTTACAGAAACAACAAGGAATCTGTAGTTGAATTTGGAGGAGTTCCAAATCTCCAGAGGATGCGTGTCAGCCCTCTCCCTGCACCTTGGGGAAAGAATAAAAAGTTGCCATAATTGAGCTTAATTTAGTGTGAATTCATCTTTCTTGCCAACAGCTGTGCATACCTTGTGGAAACACGGTGTTCATCTATTCCTTGCTTTTCATCTGGACAAACTGGCCAGGCCTGGCTACGAATTGTCCCTTAGGAATGGGCCTCTTGGTTCAAGAGAGTGAAATAAAGCTCACAGCCCAGTACTCTTCTTTTTTGAATTTTTCACGAACATCGATCTCGCTCCTCTTTTTGTTTTGGGGTCAGCACTCTGCCAGGGATCGTCGCAAAGTTCTCTCCCAAGTAGACCAGCTTGCACTCTCAGAGGAGTAACATCATCTGCCTGCTTTGCTTTGTTTTTCCTTTTATAGTAAATACCATCCTGAAGATGTAAGTCAGCTCCAAAGCCCAGATTGGCTGTCCCTCCGGGTAGGGATCTCAGACTAATCTCAGGCTGAAGCAGGAGTGGGATCGGCTGCTCGATGAGAAAGTAACGAACAGAAGTAGGAAACAACAGGAATAGGAGTTTCCCCCTTAACATGCCCCGTGGAGGCTACTGGTTATACATTGTTGGCCCAGATATGCTGATTGGGGTTTCTAAATTCAGTTGTCCTCGTTGTTGGCAGAAACATCACTGTGACTTATCCAGGGGAAAGAGTCATGATTCCCAGGTTGCTCCTCAATCATAATACCCTCCTTTCCCTCGGCTCTCTTGCCTCTTCTCTCATGCAAAGCCTTCAGGTGGCCCAGAGGAGGAAAAAAGACATTCCCCTAATTTCCTGCAAGGAAGAGAAACCTAGACGAGCAGAAGTCTGTTGGTTGGGGAAACACATCTACCCCTCATAGCAGCATCATGTTCTCAGAAATAATGTAGAGACATGACATCCAAAGACTTCTCAAAAGGCCAGCACTGTCAACAGGTGGTGGGGCTGTGTTCTATGGAAGCAGAGAGAAGGGAAGAAAGACTGGTTCATAGGTTTTATTTTAGTTCTTATGAAGTCAGTTGGCTTTTAAGCACCTGCTGAGAGAGGCTTGGACTAGTTTACTGGGGAGACAAGAGAAGAAAGAGATGGGACCTGCCTCATGGGAGTCCCCATCCCATGAGCAACAAACATGGACTGGACGCAGGTGCACAGCTATGAAATTGTCTTGTCTTTGGAGACTTGCCTTGGGTCAGGGTAGGCAACAAGGAGGGCCCTGATGCCAAGTCGAGAGACGTCAAGGAAAGTTCCTGAGGAGGAGAGGCCTGGACCTGAGTCTTGGAGCCTGATTACATGTTAGCCAAATACATAAGGTGAGGGAAGGCCATTCTGTGCAGAGGGAAAAGGATGCAAGAAAAGCATGGTGATGAGACAGATCAACCAAGTATCTCCTCTAGCCTGAAGGTCAAAGGACATGGGAAGGAGTCTGAAGAGGGGAAAGCCAGGCTTTGCAAAAAGTTTGGCATTCATAGAAGCTGTCAAGGGCATTTAGTAGCAGAATGACCTGCTTACCTTTGCTCCTGAGAAATTGGACCCTAGCGGAAGTCGGGGAGGGGGCCATAGGAAGGGAGGAGGAGCAGGGGATTCTGGTTTGGGAAACCAGCTGAGAGGTGGGGGCTGTTTAGTAACGGAGGAGGAAAAAGAGGTGGGACCAAGGCAAGCAGCAGTGAGAATGGAGTCCAAGGAGTGTGTGGACATGGTCTTTGTGCGAGAGAACTGAGACAGCTCGGAATTGAATGTGTCCCCTTGAAAGTAGACTGCGCAGGAGCAGGAGGAATTTAGGACGATGCCCAGGTTCCTGCCAGGGCAGCTGGATAGCCCGCAGTGTCCTCTATAGCAAAGAGAACATAGGAGAAGAAACAGATCCCGGGCCAGTGTGGGGCCTGGTGAGTCTGGAAACCAGTAGGACACTCCGAGGAGCTCAGCCAGACCTCAGTGTGCCATGTTCTTCCCTGGCTGGTTTCCCTAAGCTCCATCTTCTCTCCTCACCTGCACAGGTTAGCACTCTGACTGCCTGTGGGGAAGCTGGTGTGGAGACTCCATTCCAGATTTCTGGCTAGTAAGGCCCATAGATTTGGGCTCCTAAGAGTGACAAGCTCCATGACTTTCTCGTCACAGCTGTCAGCCGGAGAGGGATGGAGGTCGGAGGCTGTTTCTCTTGACACAAGCTTCAGCCTCA